TTTGGTATCTGGTAGGGCAGCAAGCCAATAGCTTGTCTTCATATTTGTGTAGTTTCACTTGGTCGGCAAGAACATAGAGAGCTCTATGTAGCTGGGTTAATGCATTGTTACAGTGTGAAGCTCGGCCAAGCTTCAGCTTTTAAAATACAAGGGACAGGGCTCCTGAGCATTTCACCCAGTAGAAGCAACTTTTGGAAGGATTTCATTAGTTAGCTGTGGGTGGGATTCCCTTGGCAGACTGGTGCAGTTCGGGGGGTTCGAGTCAGGCAGGGTGGCGTCGCCCGGCTGAGAAACGGTGACTTGCCAGGCACACGTCAGCTCCATCGGTCCCCCCGCCTCGGGGCCTTGCTCGGCCCTCGGTTCTGTGGAGTAGGAAACAAGAAGAAGCAGATTCACGCGTCCACCCCAAGAGCCCTTCAGTCCGTCTGTTGTATTTAGTGTGATGGCGGGCAGTGGAATCAAGAAACTTCTCCATCCATTTCTCGAAGGAGCCAGGGTGTTACTGTAGCCTCAAGAATGCGGTTGGGTGATGTATTCCAGGCCGCCACAATCCTTTGTGTAATAAAAGTGCCTCTTGTGCTTCGTTTTCAATGCACTTCCACTTGTGTCCTGCGGTTCGCGTTTCACGGTTGCTTCTGAAGACACCCATCGGGCTGTTGTTGTGAATACCTCTGGGGATTTCATACACTCCAGTCGGGTTATGCTGAAGACTGGAGAGAGGTTGAGTAGTTGAGCGTATTGGTGAAGAACAAGGGATTGCAAGCTACAGCACGCGTGTCATTATTGACACGCAAAGGGATTTTTGACGATGCGCACAATATAAGTCTAGTAAGCCAAGAAAAAATAAAGTTAAAAAAAAAAGATAAAAACTATGCTTGACCGTTCTGTAATTCTCTTTAACATGCTACCCAATGGTGTAGAAAATAATGCTTCACTTGGTTTATTTACTGCATTATGTTTGGTGGGGCTAGCCTATTGTTTTCACAGGAAAACCTACAATCTGTGCCGCTGATAACATTTTTCACACTTAAGCGTGAAGTCAAACATTGTAAAGCCACCGGAAGAGTTTGGCACGCTTCGCGAACAGTCCTGATTTAATCAAGATATTTTTCTCAGGGAAAAATTCAAAAATACTGCAAACGGCACAATGAAAAATATGTTGCAAAACCGACATCTAGTTGACATTATCATGCACGTGTTGGAACCCAGCCTCCGTTTACGTGGTGCAGATCAGACTGTTTGGGGTCTTTTCGAAACATGGAAGGCATTTAAAAGTTGCCATTTTTTTCTCTGGATATTGACACTTCAATTCTCACAATTTCCAACGTCATGAAGGACTTTCAAAGCATTCCATAGTCCATGTTGCTGAGTTTCAAGAACTATGCAAGAACCAGCAACAGAATTTTCTGTACGATTGCAGTGGAGGGATCTTGAGGGTTTTGAAATGCACTGCAGTAAAAGTAGCTCGAAGTTCGATATTCGCCTGATTTTAATTTTTTGTCATTCCATTAGTGTCTTATTCTTATCTGAACTGAATCTTATTTAACACAGAAAGAAAATGATAAAAAGACCCAGATTTGTCATTTTACTTTTTTCTCTTCTACAATAGCATGGTGTGTTTAATCTCTAGAATATCAATTGTCACTATAAGGAAAATTCCTTTCTCTGGAGCAATGGTTTCGGAAGAATAAAAATGCAGTGGAGGCTGTAGCCTGGACTTCAGCATGGCTCTGGAATCAAGGAAGTACAACTGTTTTTTGTAGATTGCATTCTTGCTGCCACAGGTTTTGTAACTTGGGAATTTGAATTGGAAGATTTTTGTTGTCAAGCTGTTTTACATTTCAGACTGGATGAAAAACGGCTTGCTATGTGACCTTTAATTCCTTAAAGACATTCAGAGCTGAGCTGTTTTTTTCTCTGTTTACTTAATGCACTAAAAGACTTGCTGTTATAACTGGTATTCCGTCTATCTTATCTCAATGCTAGAGTTCGGTTTTGAAAAAAAAAACAAGAGATTGTAGAGCTTTTTTAGCTAAAACAGTTTAATTTTGCCTCTCATATTTTCATGTTCATATTCTCCATTTTTGTGAGGTATAGACCTACACGTTTTTGATATACTTCTTTCTCTGTCTATGACAAAAACTGTTGCTAATAAAGAGAACTAATTCTCATTTAATTTAGCATTAACAGGCTTTAATGTTCCAGAATTACTTACCATAGACTTTCTGTACATCAAAAATGTATGAGTCCTTTAGTCTCCAGGTACAGTTTTATCAAGTATATTTTGAGTCATTAAAATACAAATTAAAAATGTTGTAAAGCTACTAACACTGTTAGAACCATTGTTTCACTTAGGGCACTAGCTGTACCTTTTGTGCACATCATAGTGGGTGTTCTTCGCTGAGTCACTGATCATTTCTGTATAAGTGCCCTGCATTTTTAGAATCGAATGGACCTCAAGCATGCAGGATGCCCATTAACTCTCACAAACTTGTTTGTCTGACCAGGCCTTCCCCTCTTCACACAAACTTGATTTTATGATTTGCTTAACACACTGTCTGTGATTGCGGCTATGTTTTGCCTTTTTAAAGGCTGGTGTTTTGGTCGGTGATTTTTTTGCACCGGTCATTTTGCTCGGAAAAGTCTTATTTCCCCGTGTTGCGGCTTGCATTCTGGGAAAAAAACCTGGAGCAGTGCCTGTTGACCTCCTGACCCTTGCTAGATCTTGGCATGCTCTGTCCAGTCTTGTGTATTTTCCACTGTAAGACCACATTCCTCTCCAGCATTTGGCAAAATAAGTAGGAGTTTGGCTTTTCCTCTGGTGGGAATTGCCCTCTGACATGCACTTAACATTTGTACTTAAGACCTGGATGACCAGACCTGTTTTATTATTTTAGAGTTGTTCCCTGAAAGTCATGAGTACCAGTCTCTATATTACCCTAATCATTTCCACCTCATAAGTTACCAGGTCTTCCACTATGCATGAAAATTGGACAGGGAATGATGTTATACTTCATGGTATACAGATTCCATTCTGTACTGAGGGACATTAAAGTACTACCTATGGGTAATCTAGAAAATAGCTTTTGTTGCATTGTAATGCCTCTTTATATAATCATAACTGGTCTGTTGTCAGCAGTAGAATGTGACCAAAGCTTTTTGAAAAACTTAGTTTTTTCCACAGCCTTACAGATGGTTTAATTGCATTTTTAGAGTTATTAATTGGATGACTAAATCTAAAAAGAGCGTCTTAACTAATTAAAAATATCTTAGTTTTAATTAGTCTAGTCTAGACAGTGCAGTATTAATCCATTCAATGCTCAACAAGTCAGCAGATAGGTATGGTTCAGCCAGTTCAAGATATCATATGAAGTTATATTATTTCTTTATCCACCAGTGTGGATAATGCCAGTGTTTTTCTAAGTCAGCCTCTGCATTTCTCTTGATACTATACAATATTTATTGCTCTGCAGGGTCTGTTGTAACCAGATTGAAATTGGAGTTTAGCTTGTTTTCCTCACATTTTGTAATTAAATAAATCATAATTAAGGCAAGCATATAATCCTAAAATACATGTAAGATACAAGATATACATTTGTATTTGAAATCCATACTAATGTTATTTGCAGTTCCAGGCTGTTTTGTATATAACAACAGTCTACTACTGCCCTCTAATGGGTATTTGGCTATAGATTTGTCTAGCACCCGAGTCGACATGTGCCACAACTGCTCATTTCAATACTGATGAAAAATTAAGCTAATTAGCTGGTTTTTGGGTTGCAAAAAACTTCAAAAACTTTTCTCAGTACTGTTATAAATTAACAGTTTGGGCTGTTGTTTAGTGGTTTTTAGCCTTTTCTCTTATCAGCATATTTTGTGTACTTCCAAAACTTTCTGCCCTCAAACAAGGCACCATGTTTGTTATGAAATAAGCCTGACAGGGTAAAGTACTCAGCTGGGACCATGCAGAACAAAACAATTGGTGCTGTTCAGTTAAAAAGGCACCCATTTAAAAAAGAAGTTATTTTGTTTCAGAATAAGTGGACACTACATTCAAGCTGGAGAATTACAAATGGGGATATGGAAATTGAACATGAGCAGACAGGGCTCCCTGAGTAAGAAGCAGTAGGATACTTCGTCACTAAGGAAGGTTCATATTTCATATGGTTGGACAAAGACACAAAGTGGCGACTTCAATTTCTTTTGCTTCACCCTAAACTCTTGGCAATGGGCTACCTTGCAGCCTTTTTTTTTGTTTATGACAGTGCAAGAAAGATGTCCTTCCAGCACTAGCCATTTCATTTCTGTCTTATCCCATCACTCTGATGTGATTTTACTCTCACACTGATGTGTTTGGTTCTCGAAGGAAGAAAAAACCACAGTCCTTTCGCACAACAAATCATGTCACCTCAGTCATAGCTGCAATTAGTGAGTGGTGTAAAATTGCCATGAATGTCAGCAGTAGGTTTCAATTTCCAAGTTACACTGTCAAAATGCCTTCTTCATACAAGCATAAGGTCAGAACTGCACATTCCTGTTTGGCTCAAGTGCCAAGAACTGACTGTAGAAGAGTGTTTTTTAAATTCTTAAGTCTATGGTTCTGGTGTTTTGTTTTTAAACTAAAAGAGTCAAACAAAAAGAGAATCCATCCAGCAATTCTGTTTCAGTGGGCACTGGGAATGTAAAAAGGCAACAACAATGTTTTGATTTATTGGCATGATAAATGTCCGAAGTCTGTGTATTTTTTTATTGCCAGAATAAAAAAAATATTTGGCAGCTTTCTTGTTTAGACTTTTTTCCTATTTTTGCTGCAGAATCTTAATAGTTTACTTTGTTTTTTGGGAAATGGAACAAAGTCATTGCAGTCCATTGAGTATAAACAGTTTGTCCTGAGACACAATAAAATCAAGTGCCTGAAATTTCTGCTGTTTTACTCACCGTAATGCAGTAAAGTAAATGCCATCCACTTATGTATTTTAAATGATTTGTTCCTTTCACAGAAACTGGCTCCAGGTGTAAACCAGTTCGCCTACACTTGTGTACAAGATCATCCCATTTGGATGAACCAACAATTCTGGGAAGCTACATTTTACAGTGAAGTACAGAACCAGATCCGAGCCCTGTACCTCACTACATTAGAGGGCAAACCAGGCATTAGTATGAAATTGAAGGTAAAAACTGCACGCATACATTACAAGTATTTCCTTTTCTCATTAACAATCCTAAGAATCAAATTCTGATTAATGTAGAACTTTTATATCTGGTTAATTATGTTAGATATTTTTTAATCTAGAGTGACATAACAAAACATTTCAAAGAAATATCTAACTCAAATGCATTTTTTTAACATGTTGACAAAACGTTCAGCATATTTTGTCAGACAAAATATGACACAAGTCAGACACAATTAGAAAGTTTCTAGGTGTTTAAGATAACTATGACCTTAGAAACCACTTTATGTGAGATGTAGTTATGACAGAGAATATCTGAATAAAAATATGGGTCTTTGTCAACAGATCTGACAGGATTGAATAAGTATTTTATAGTAGCAACTTCTTCTTTATTAATGAGACCAAGATCAGACAAGTTTGTGGTTTAAAACGAGGATGGACAGTACAGTAATATTGGTGTGGCTGGTGTTCAGCCACATTTTTAAATGCAAGGCTCATATGCCTTGTTAATCCCTGTAGTAAGGGATCAATTAAAAGCAGGCAATCCCTTTGGTATTGTGATCATCACCGTTCTCACACACAAGTGCCTTCAATGGCAGTGGCTAGCTCCATGGGATTTAAATGTGCTAACACTTGTCCCCCATGACCCAAAGGAGAGAGGCCCTGCAGCTCAGGACCTGGAGCGGACTGCCATGGACCTGGCGGCAGAGCAGATGCGCGCCTGGCCGGCCCTCAGCAAGGAGAAGCAGCAGGAACTGGTCCAGAACGAGGAGAGCACCGTTTTCAGCCAGGCCATCCACTACGCCAGCCTCATGGTCTACCTGCTGGTGCCCCTGGATGCCAGCAAGAACAAGCTGCTGAAGAGCTCGGCCGCTGGGGACTGGGAGAGTGGGAGCAACAGCATCGTGACCAACAGGCAAGGAAGGAGCGAGGGGCACCTGAAGCTCCTGTGCGCAGCAGGCGCTTTCTGGACAGTCGAAATCCGCTGGAGAAAATTAAGGCACGACACTCGGAAAGCTGCTCGCCGGTGTCGGTTTTCCTTCCCGGTTGATTATTGTTTTAAGAATTCGAGGCCACCAAGCTGTGCCCTTAATATGGCCACGTGTGGTACACACCTGGGTCCAACACGAACACCAAAATATTCCCTTCTTGGGCCCACGGTGACTTAAAAAAAAACAAATCTTTTTTATGATCCAGAAAATCCAAATAGAATATTTGCGAGGAGATTTGCAAGTCGAAAGCTGGTTTCAGGCTGTGCTATTCTTTATTCTAGCTGCCGAACAAAATGGGTTGTGCCTGTGCCAAATTTCAGACTCTTAAAATAAAACTGGAAGTCCTGCACCTGTTATTGAATCTAGCAGGTAGTTTGTATTTTTCAAAACCCCTACAGCCCAAAAATGTTTCAAACATTTCACTTATTTTTGTTTACTTTGCACTTAGTGAAAATGCATGAAAAAAGTCATGTGTCTGATTGGCACAGCACCTCATTCATGAGTTGTAGAATGAATATTTCTTTAGGATTGTGAGATAAACGTGTCTTTTTCCACATGCTCCAGTAAAAACCCCAAACTGTTCCAAGTATTCTTTTGCCAGAGTTGCTACGTGTTCCTTCCTTGCTTCCGTTTCCGTGGTTGTGGGAACTGGAGAACCTCGGGTCTTTTTCTTTCTGATTACAATAGCATGTTCGGTTTCAGAAACGTCCAGGTAGTAGGAAAAAAATGGAAAATGAAAGACAAGAAGTGGAACTGACTCCTTAGACTATACCCACAATGTGCTGCATTAGGAAAAATCCCTTTGTGTTGCTTTTCCCAGAAAACAGAATCTGTTTGCCAAGATGGAGTTTACCAGCGCAGTCTTTTTTCCTGTTAGAGATTTGGCATGCATAAACTAGGGAAGGTTCTCTCTCCAAATTATTACTAAATATAATATATTAAGAAATATGACTGCAAGGAGTTACTCAGATTTCAGGTGTAATTAATATGCGTGTCTTCGCATATCTTTGAGACATGAATAATCACCTGAATAAAGCACATTAGGCCATATAACTCCTTTGGACTGTCCTTGTGGTCAACAAATTAGCTTCTGCTACATAATGATAGAAAATTAGGATCATGGTAACTATGGAGCACACATAGGAGCTTATAAATGTCCTGTCTAAAAATAAACTTGCTTGTGACCTTTCTATTTTTTAGACGAAATACAAAACGTATCATGATCAGTCTGGGAAATAAACAGGAAACCAAATTTGCTGTATCAAAACATGTTCTTCTTGTAGGACGGTCACAGTCTACTGTATCAGGTCATGACAGTGCATTTTAAATACGTTGAAAATATCATCAATTTATGATGTCTAACTTACAACATCCTCTGTAAAACATTGTTTTGAAGTACATCAAACTGAAATAACACTCTGAGGATCTGCCTTCCAGATCTGTGCATTTCAACATTTAACGCAAAGTGACTATGCAGGTCAGTTTTTTCCAATGCCAGTTAAAATCTAATTAACAAATCGTTTAAAGTGTATTATTTAAAGAATAATTTACACCTTTGCCAAAATGTGTATTTAGAAGCACAGTGGTCAGCAATAGTAAAAAATTGTTGATGATGATGAGTGTAGCAAAAGATTCTTTCAGTTATGTTATTCACTTTGCAGGTATGAATTATAGTGACTATATTATTTGAAGTAATATGGTCATCAGTAACAGTTCTACTTGATCTTTGAGGTAGATATTTTGACTTAGAAGAATTCTGACTCTGAATTTGGTTTATAACTATCTGTGTTCTGTGCTCAGTTTGGTCCATTCACTTTTAGTTTATATACACCATGCATTTTGAAGGTGCTGTGAGCAGTAGATTTTTATCTACAAAACAATCAGAATGCAAATTCTGTCCATCTAGACTGAGAGAATTCACCAAATTACATTATTCTAAATAATGAAATATCTTAACTTGCATGTTTTAATTTTTGTTGGAACAGAATTCACACCATAAGCTTGTTTTTAGTTTTTGTACGATGAACAGATATAACTTTTTATTTTATTTTCTAAAAAATGTACTGAAGGATACTTACGAATGACAGAAATAATGTACTGTAAGTAAGAAATGTATCATTCTTAAAAACCTTAACTAGTAAAAATCCAAAGGTGGATTGTAAAACATTTGTTCAGGCTATCAATAGTCAATTTAATTATTACTAATTAGCCAAATTGGTAGTCAAAGCATGCCTTAAAAAGTGAAGCTTAGATTGCAGCTTCAGAAGATGTTTATCCACTGTAAGATAACATTGCACAGTGCATTTAAGATAGATCACTTTATACTGTACAATTTCTTGCATTGGAATTAGAAAATCTTTTCACATACCTCAGCTTGCTCTCCATGAGACACAGGCACACAGACGGGGAGAGAGAAGCTTGGGGTCAGAGTGCAGGGTCAGACATTTATACGGTGCCCCTGGAGCAGTTGGGGTTAAGGGCCTTGCTCAGGGGAGTAGGATTCCTTTATTAAATAGGCTCTGCCGGCCATGGGATTTGAACCGGCAACCTTCCAGCCACAGTGCCACCACTCCACCCACTTTATTCAATTTCCTATTTAATAAAGTAGATAAAGACCTGTTTATTTGGCTGCTCACATTATGCTGACCCCAGAAGCACTGATCAGTCTGTCTGTTGTGTTTCACAGCATTGCTGGCAGTGTGGCCGAAAGCTATGACACTGAGAGTGGGTTTGAAGACTCGGAGAACAGCGACATAGCGAACTCAGTAGTGAGGTTCATCACCCGCTTTATAGACAAGGTCTGCACAGAAAGCGGAGTCACTCAGGACCACATCAAGAACTTGCACAGCATGATACCGGGTGAGTACAAGTGGAACTCCCTGACTTTGTGCCATTTCACAAGCTTCTGTACGCTGAGCGGTCACAAATTATCCAGTTAAGTATTGTAACCATCAAAGGACTTCAAAACCTAGAAATGTGTGCAATAACTACTGTACAGTTAATATCCTAAAAATCAGTATGGTCCTAGCTATTGTGCCTACAAACTCCTATCTTCAAGTCTTTAGCAAAAAAAACAGAATGCATAACATTACTGTATTGTTATATTGAAATGACAGGTATCGATTCTGCTTTTAAAAGCAATGTGGTCAATTTAGATCAGGTGGCTTTAACAAAGTGTGCCAGGGGTTGGGTGCGATATCTAGTGCTGTGCAATAAATGTGAATGACCCAGGAGGGGCAAACAGTGATCATGTTCTTGCTCCTTTTTGGATACAGGCATTGTGGCCATGCAGATGGAGACTTTAGAAGCTGTTCACCGGGAAAGCAGACGACTACCTCCAATACAGAAGGCAAGTAGAAGCCAAAGCTAGGGTATGTGTGGAAAATGTATAGCAGTTAAACTGTCCATACATCATGTACATACAGTAGGTCTCTCTATGGATGTTTTCTGGTGCTACTTTTAACTTTTGCGTTCGGTAAACTTCCTAGCATCTTTAGTGTGTGAAAGAGGAATGCCCCCAATAATCAGAAGAACAACAGCTATTGAAAAAGCTGTTAGATTGTGTTCCTTTATCTTGTGAAAAAAAACAGCTTTCTTTTTATTATTATTATTGTACTCCATATTGAACAATGAACACATTGAGTTTGTGGTCTTTTGTTTTATCATCCCATCTTTCGACAAGGCACTGCATGAGCTGTAACTATAGCATGGATCCAGAGTAATTGAGTTCTGTCTGTGGCAGAGCATATCAGTCTGCGTGTCGCTTGCCATCTGTCTGACATTAATAGCGCGGACCATATTACCCCTATCTTTTGCCAATAGCATATTGAATGTTATGAATCTTGTAAACAATTGTAAGAATGACCCTTGTGAGCCATCATGTTGAATATTTATGGTTTTCAAAGTTGGATCTGCCCTGTCATGAGAATCCTGCTACTGATTTGGCTTGAATACAGTTAAGATAAGGAAGGGTCAAACAAAGCAATACTGTCACTACAGACAACTGTAGTTCTTTCACTGCAGTGTCTAGGAATGCTATGCCACACTGATGATGCATCTGATGATTTTTCACCACCTTTCTGAACCTACTATGAACCTACAGTAGTGTTCCTACTGAGACTCGTCTTTAAAGCTTTAGAGGAGAACCAGCTGGCAGTCTTTTTAGGTGTTAGGGGACTTGAAAGTAATTTATCATCTTGGAATTTAGCCCGTGAACTCTACAGAGATGGCATTCATCACCGTTTTTTTTTTTCTGGAGAAGGGAATTTATGTTTAGATAAAGAAGGGCTGGTCCAAGCTTTCTGCAAATGGCTTTTGACATGCTAAACTATCATACCTCTACTTTGAACTGAAAATCTGCGACTGATAAAATGTTATTTCAGCTTCCATTAATCATGTGCAGGAAATATTTCATGAGTTTTGAAAGGCCTCTGAGAGTGAGCTTGGCCCATTTCTGTTGTACCCTCTTCCCACCACCCGTACTGACATTGAGTTCCCACGAAGTATGAATAGAAGGCATAAGATGCATGTCAGTGACATTTTAGCATACTTCTCAGCAGATATTGAACATGCTCTTTGACATTAAATTGTGAAACATGGCAGTGGTCCACGTGCTGTTTTTTTAAGACAAATAATATGTCTGTTGTTTAGTGTATTGTTGCACGCATCACTTCCCAGGAATGCTATGCTCATGATAAAACCATGAATCTAAGAAGAGATACAAAGAAAAGGAAATGAGTATCACAGTCAACGCAAGTCAATAAAATAAATTGAATGCTTGGCATTGCATTGTGACAGCTGTCACTAATTTCACAGCGCCATAAATGTGCTGTCTGCAGTATTTAATTGTACGTGGGTGAGTATATGTATATGAAGCTCATTTGAAAACCTTAGATGTTGTGAAGTTTTTGTTCCATCATCATTACAAAAATAACTTCCCCCTCTTAAAGAATCACCTGGGAAGTTAAACTGTATTCATAGGAACTGTCTTCTGGATTTATGATTCAACTGGAAGATACCTGTCTCTGAGCAGAGTTTACCTTTTATCTGTGATTATAGCTGTAAATTTTGTCAACTTACAGCCAGTGAGGTGCTTAAAGATTTGACAACTGTGCATATTTACAGTATGTCCATCAGGTGGTATTATGTGCTGATTCAAAAAGAGCTAAAAAAGAGTTCAAGAAAAAAAGCGGGGATCATTTGAAAAGATACTTAACTTCAAAGTTAAAACTCGAGAACAATGAGAGCAAGTCGACTGGATTTTGCTCACTCTTTGGTTGTTGGGTGATGTTGTCTTTCTTTCTTCATTGAAGAGACAGTTCAAAGGGAACTTTTGTTGAAAAGGTTAAATCGGATAACTTTCGTGTTGAGATACTTGCCATTGAAGACTGACTTTATGTTAAACAATTGTCCTGCATGTTTGGTTTAAAAGCAGATGTTTCTAATTTATTTCTACATTATTACTGTTAATTATTTTGTTCGCTTATGTTCTAAAATTGCCCTTCATTACTATCCACCCTGGAGTGTAAATAAATTTGCTGGTTACATTTTACAGTGGTCTTAACGTCACTACATACAGCCGCAGAATTATTCATGTTAAACCTCTGACTTACCCACGAGAAATTACTTGTTTCCTGATGTGCATCAGATCTAGTTATAGAACACTAGGTCCGACCATTCCAGAGTGTTCGCCAGCACAGGGAAACTTTTTACGAGATGTTAAAGAAGTTGAATGTTTTGAACGACCCCGTTCAAGTGCATGCTTTGCATGCTGGGCCACTCCTTAATAGTGTCGAACAGGGGGCCACAGTTTGTTATTTAGTTGTTTCATAACACACTGTATACAAACGTTGGGGGGCTGCACAAAAAGTTAACTACCATTCATCATTCTCAAACTATAGGTAATCACACAGTTGAGACCATCTTTCTGGATCTTCATGCTCTCTTGCATCTTTTCTGAAAACAGAACAATCTTTAGTATATTCCAACATTCAGGTTTGCAGTCAATTCAACAGACTCACCATGCAAAATCTCAATGGTAACGTCACCTTTTCAATCTCCACCTCAGCACTCTGTCCTAGAACAACTGCATGGCCCTGCAAGAAAAAGTCGGTCAAGTCAGTCATTGGAAAAAATGCAGCACAGTTCCAGAAGGGAGTTTTGGTTCGTTAAAAAATGAACGTCCATGTTTGCACCTAAATGGTCAGGGCCCAGCAAAAAAGTCTGAAAAGATTAGGACCGGCTATGTACAGGATAGAATGAGGGAGAATCCCAAAACTCTGGACAATAATTTGAAACAGTTAAGTCCTAGAGTTATATCCTTTTCATTCTTTAAGAAAATGGTTCTTCCCTTCTAAAAATCACCTGTGGAAAGCTCTTTTCACACACTTCACAGGGGACTTTGTTACTCTCCCTGAGCCATAATCCCCAAGTAAAATTTACCTTCTATCCCCTATCACTGTTAGAACCTCTAACTGCTGAAATTTAAAGTTACAGAGTTGCTAGTAGGTTTGCACAACTGGTCATATGATAGCTTAATACTGTATGTCCGTTAAATCTGTGGTATCGTTTGTTGATTTTTACAATCAAAGAGGCTGAAAAGGGATTGTCAGAAACAATGTCTGGAAACATCTGAAAAACCTGAAAGCATCTGTAGCCTAACCTTGGACTCAAAACAGCAAGGATAATTACAGTTGGACTTACGAATTTTGTTGATTCTTTGGTTTTAATAATAATAACCTTTAATTTACATAGTTTCTTTTAATGGTACATCCTTCCTTCTTTGTTGATGAGACATTTCCAAACTTTGGGTTCTAATGGCTGACTGGGTTGAAGTAATGAACTGATACCTTCACATTGGATTATGTATTGCCAAATAATGGGTTTAAAAAATGTAAATACTGCATGTTTGGGTCAAACATTGATGTTTCTTGTTCATTTTGTCTTTATTGATGTTGATTACTTGGTTTGCTTATCTTCTATTATTTCCAATTACTATCTACCCAGGGATGTAAATAAATGTATTGGTTGCGCTTTAAAGAGCCCATTTTTCCAGCATCATTCTTCCTAACCATGACAATATTCATGTTGATTCCCTGACTTACCCATGAAAAATTCCCTTTTTCCTCCTGCACGTCCGATCTGGTTATGACATGCTACGTCTGGCTGTTGAAGAATTGCAAGTCTTCAGAATGCACAATGACTGCGGTTCTTTACTGTTGTCACCTTTACAATTTCCAAATTTTGCACATGTTGCTGGTTGGTAAGAAACTGGTATTTTTGGGTCATAAAAGAGAATTTAACCATATTGATCTATCTATCCGAGTTCTAAAAAACACTGTACTTGCTTAAAAATCTTCTCCGGTTAAGGTATTCAATTTTTGAAAGCCGCAAGTCATGGACATTTAAGTTTTCTTTATTTTTAATCTACACATCCGAAGTGTGTTGTCCTTTTTAATAAGAAGTGTAGTGGTAAAAACTATTGGTATTTTAAAGCATTCAGTGGCACCAACTCTTTTCCTTTGAGTGTGGTGTCTTGCTGAACTAGTGCTCTTTTGTATTCTTGAAACGTAGCCCAAGATCTTGCGTCCAGCGTTGCTCCCTGGAGAGGAGTTTGTTTCAGAGGGTTTGCGTGTGGTTCTGGACCCTGATGGCCGCGAAGAGGCGACAGGGGGATTACTGGGTGGCCCACATATCCTTCCAGCAGAGGGCGCCCTTTTCCTCACCAGTTACAGGATCATCTTTAAAGGCACGCCGCATGATCCATTAGGTGAGATTCTGCACTCGGGTGAGAAGGGAACTGTGTTTAAATAAACATTGCTGTTTATTAGACTGGTGTTTTCTGTCTTGAAAACTGCTCCTTGCTTCTTTCTTTGCATATTACCACTCTGTACATAAGTACATAAACTCTCTGTGTAAATACACTCTTCTGATGTACAGCTACTGCCTATGCATAGAGAATGTCTGATAGGAGGGTAGTTTTTTGTGCTGAATTTACTAGTGCATTCAAAGTGTACACAGGTGTAAGAGGTACTGCCGTAAATCTAATAATTATGTTTGGCTTACTGTGAGCCTCAGAAATTCTTGACAAGCCCCGAGGTAGATATTTGAGTAGACGAACGACATATTTAATGGGCTCATTCGATCTCCATCTTTTGTTCATTTCTTAGCTCATCATATTTGTTGTTGTTTTTTTCCTCTTGTTTTTTCCCCCATTTCCGTAGGGGAGAATAATAGAAATGTGTGACAATGGATCTCCCTCACACGCACCTTCGCATTGCTTTAGACTGCAGTGCCTCTTAGTGTATGTCGTTTTGTTTGAAGGCGTTAATGTGGGTTCTTTGCTTGGGTTCCCAGTGGGCGAACAGGCTGTGATCCGGAGTTTCCCAGTCTCCACTCTGACAAAGGAAAAGAGGATCACAATCCAGAACCAGCTGCAGCAGAGCATGCAGGAGGGGCTGCAGATGAGATCAGCCTCTTTCCAGGTACAGTACCTTACATGCACTGGCGTGGTTGTGTTTGTATTATGTTGACAGGGGCAACAGCACGTACAGTATATTGATTGAGCTACCTTCTAAATACCAGTGTTGGGCTGAGGCGAGTGTTTTCTAGTTTTCAATTAGGTTGTTTTGTAATATTCATACATTTTCAACACCTGGTCTTTACTTCGACTTTACCATGTTTTTAATTCTTTCTGAGCTGAAGAAAAAAACATTTTAGTGTTAAAGCATGACTTCACACTACACTGTTGAACCACAGTATATCATCACGTCGATTTATGACTTTTAAAACTTCAGAATATGGAATAAATGTAATTCTTCTGATATTTCTGGTCTAAATTAATTTGAAGGTAAATCTTAAATGTAAAATAAAAATATTACATTTCCAAATTCGTTTTCATAGCTTCTTGCCCCATTTTGATTGGGTTAGAGTTTTTTTTGTCTTTTTTATTAACTTCTTCTGTTTGGGTCTTTCACAATACACAAAATGTTGTAAATTTTTTATGATCCATTCCGATCTTTTTACTGAAGTGGACAATCAAAAACATATTTTGGAAGACTGGCTGTATTATCTTCCATTCCAAAGTTCTCCAAAATGATTTGTCAACATGTGGTGTCTATTGTGTATTATCATGCTTTATTTAAGTTTTGATTTCCCCCAGAGAATTCATTTGAGATTTTTTAACTGTAATGCAGTAAAATAAGTGAACTAAGACTAGGTTCTAGAAAAATATAAAGATCTGCTCAACAGAGTGACATTTCTATACTGATTGAACATCATGTAAGAAGGTACAGTATGCCACCTTAGTGGCATCATTGTGGGAAAGAACTACAGTATATGAAACGTAGTTTCACTTTATTTATAATTAACGGCCGCAGGAAGTAGTCCACCATTGATATTCTGCATTGTATATTCAATCAAAGGAGCTTCTTTGATATTTAATGCAGCTCAGTATTGCCAATTGTTTTCCACCGTGTATGAAGATGCAGTAGCAAAGTTGAACTGCTCAGTTTATTTCTTCAGTGATGATGCCCTGATCTTCCCAGGTATAAAACTGCATAAAATATCCGCTGAATGTATTTCAACTTCTGAATTTTTCACTGAAGCTTATTAAGGTTGCGTTCGATGAAGAGGTGACCTCCGAAATGGTGGAGATCTTCAAGAAGCACCTCCAGAGAATCCGCTACCCCCAGTCCATCTTCAGCACTTTCGCTTTTGCAGCAGGGCAGACGGCACCCCAGCTCGTTCTTCCCAAGCAGAAGGAAAAGAACACCTCATTCCGGTGAGCCAGAACCAAGATGGCAGAACCTCAGCCGTCTTTCAGTGGAGCGAGTTCAGCAGGGGAGTAAAGCTGAAGACTGCTTCAACAGAAGACCATAGCCCCCCTGAATGTTTTGTTTTTTGTGTCCCTGTAAAGCACGCTTTCGAAGACTCTGGTGAAAGGCGCGAAAAAGGCAGGGAAGATGACCATTGGGAGGCAGTACTCTGCAAAGAAGAAGACTGGCACCCTTGTGGATGAGAAAGGCAATCACATGGCATGGAATGAAGATGACAATATCTCAGGTGTGCAAAAAAAACCCCATTAAAACAGAGCTCCTCCAAATGCAGACAAAGAGAAAGGATTGTCGTGAGACGTTTTAAATTTAAGTACCAAGACACTCACTTATACTTTCCAAAGTTTTCCAAGCAAGCCAGACTTCTTACTGGTGGGGCACTTGGGAACCGTGTGGCAGTCACTGGGATACTTCTCACACTTGTCCTGCTGTGTTTCAGTGTCGGATGATGGGGAGCTTCCCACCAGCAGCACACTAAAGGCCTCAGAGAAATCCACCATGGAGCAGCTTGTAGAGCGAGCTTGTTTCCGTGACTACCAGCGCCTGGGTTTGGGTACCATCAACACCAGCTCTTCACGCACGAAGCCTGAACAGTTCCGAGTCACTGCCATCAACAGGATGTACTCCTTATGTCGCAGGTCTCAAATGTTGCTTTTGAGTCAAATGTAGCCTATGTGTGCATTCTGAAGCCACCATTCGCTTTAAAACAGTGTTAAAAAGAACAGTTTATTCAATTCGGTGAACAAAAATTGCAAAAGTATGAACAATAGATGTGAATCTAAGCACTTGAGACTAAAAATATTGTGCATAGTTTACAGATTTCCTATATGTCCTTTTACATTTAGGTTTACTAGATTTTTTTTTTAATGCAGAAAATGGTAGTATCTCATCTCTTCCAGTACTGTTTAGCCCGTTGTTGATCACTTTTTGCTTGATACAGCTATCCTGGGCTGCTGGTGGTGCCACAGTCTGTGCAGGACAGTAGCCTGCAGAAGGTTGCTCGCTGTTACCGGCACAACCGCCTGCCTGTCGTCTGCTGGAGACACTCCAAGACCAAGGCTGTGCTCTTGAGGTCTGGGGGCTTCCATGGCAAGGGGGTGGTAGGGCTCTTCAAATCCCAGAACCCCAGCACTGCAGGTATGAGTCCGAGGCCCAGTGTTCTTAACAGCACAATACCAGACATCTGCAGTTAACACTAGACTTTTTACTAATTGTTGTCAAGTGGTTTATGTTGTTATTTTCATGAATTGTTTTGCTGGCGTCTCATCACTGCTAATCTGCACAGTTAACTTCCGTCACCCGTTTTGATGTTCTGTTTAGTACTTTATTTCAATACACGACCAGTTCTTGGCAAAATCAAGCTCTCTGAGATTCATTCCTACTGCTAATTTATTCATCTTTTTGGAAAGCTCAAGTAAAGGAGTTTTAAAGGAGCTGAAGCCAAGATTTTTTATCTTTATTGCTGTTGCATATGTGGCCTTGTTAAGTCAGGAGATGTGCAAGAACAAATTTCCCAGTATTAGAAAGGAAATGTTGAAAGCTAACCTTGTAACACCTGGCTGTGGGAGATTGGGTCACATATGATCCTTTTCCTAAGAGGACACAAATACTACCCAGCATTGAAGGTACATTTATATTACTTTACTTTTACATCTGTGGCTGGTAAACCTTGATACTGAACGTTATGTGCATGGCCATAAATATACCAAAAGACTTAAAAAAACATTAGAACTTCAGCTTCATGATGAAGATAATCAATCTCATGATGGAGAGAACTTTAATGCAATCCGCAGCTCTTTCAATTAATCCCTTTATCTGAACTTTCACAGTGAAAGGAGTGCTTGTGGTTACGTGAGCAAAACTGGATGCTGATTAACATTACTGGTATAAATGCTTTTTAGCTCCAGCTTTATCATCCGAATCCTCCAGCAGCCTTGAACAAGAGAAGTATCTTCAAGCTATATTGAGCGCAATCCCCATCTACTTCAAAGCGAACGGCAATAACACTCTCACAAACCGCTCTCTCATAGCCCTCTCCCCAGGTACATGAGAGGGATCTGAATCCCTTTATTTTTTATGTTTTTTTATTTGCTCTTGTTCTTTTCTTTCCTTTCAGTAGATTATTTATTCTGTTATTTTTCTCGTTTAGTTTTTAGTTTTTAAATTACTTATTTTATCTCAAATTTCCTACGAACTGCTTTTGGCTTTTGGCTCAAGTCTCAAGTGTTCATATCAACACTTTGCTTTATATGGAGAAATAGATGTGCAGAGCTCATCTTTTGCTGTATATTTTTATGGACAATGGCACTTACTGTATAATTGCAGGCCTTAACCGGTTTCTCTGGCTTTATTGTATAAAATGCATTAAACAGCACACAGGCATTACCATGCCTTGTCTAAAAACACAAAGAGGTTTTGTGTAAAACAACAGACAGCACTCTAGAAGCCTACAAAAATGACATCAATCCCATGAAATTAGTTTTGGAAGAGGGAGTGTAAGTGCATGTTTCGATAAGAAATTGCGCTGTGTTTTGTAAATGATCCCCTCCAACGATAATACCTTAGTGGTTTCACATCACATAGATATGTCATACATTGAACACTTGTGACTTAAAATGTTTGTGTAAAAGCTTCATCGAACACTTTAATCACTGTTTTGTGTTCTCTGCTGAAAGAGTTTTGTGTAATGTATCGCTGGCATAAAATCATGCACACTTTGTTTCTCTTAACACTTTTAAAATCCCTCTTTACACAACCTTTTCCTAATCCAGCCTAATCTTGTAAATGTATACCCATTGTCTGTTAGGATACTCTATTGATTGAAAAAAATAAAGAAATGAGAGACCTTGTTGGCTGAATTAGTAGTCTCAGGTATCAGGAGTAGCTTCCTCTCTAGATATTTTTGTTTCCTGTCCTTTTCTTAAGAGTGCATTTGTGAAAGGTGCTGTTGTTCTCAATCGATGCACCTTTTCTCTTAACGCACTGTAGGCAATGACAGGCGAACGTCAAGAATCCCAAAGGTGGCACCTGTACATTTGGATGTTCACTTCTCCAATAGTTTTACGAGAGGAGGTGAGTGGCTCAGCTCTTTTCTCAAAGAAGCAGGCTCTAAATCAAAAGAGCGCTGCTGCTTTTCAGCATCTAGTCAGTTTACAGTATCTTTTGTCGCGGACAGGTATGGTCACAGGTATGAAAGCAAAGGTCAACTGTAATGAAAGGATTTTCTTCACGTTTGTGCTCCATTTGTTTGGTTATTACTGTAGGTAATAAATTCAGTAAAAAAACAGTAAATCTCATCACTGTAGCAGTTCACTGACTCAACCTGAAATGTCTTTCAGAGAGGAAGACCTGAAGAATAGTTAAGTCTTAAAGGTGGAGGAATGATTAAAAACACACATTTTCATCTATGTTAAGCATGTCCATCCTTAAAGCAACTCTCTGCTCGCACTTAAGGTCCAAACTTGATCTAGTATCGTGTATTTGGTGGATAGGCAGGATTTTGCCAGGGGGAAAATTAATGTAAATATCCGTGATGTTAGAGCACCTCAGCCAATCATATAACACCCGTACATTATGGGTAATGTGCAAATTAAATTGCTAGGATTTCTGTCACAGGTCGTCTGTAAACTGTGCAATTTCCCATGTTTCATGGACTGTTACCTTACTTTTTATAATTAAAGAAATCATTTAGATGAGAAAAATGCCACATAACAAAATTAATATTTATGAAACTATTAAAGCGCTGACTGTGGATATGTGCACTATATATACAGTATATCCCCAGCTGCTGTGCTCTTAAGGGAAAGTTCCTTTTTTTAAATAAAGCAGCTCGAGAGTGTGTGACAGTGATCAGAAGGGCAGAGTTAAGCTATTGCCAATAGCCAGCATCATTCAGTATGTTGTAGACTATCAGGTTTGAGAGGTGTTCTTAGCTCAGAATCAATGAGCATGGTATCTAGGTACCTGATGCCCAGGTAGAACTCACAGAATGAGTTTTAAGTAAGAGTTAGCTTCTTCTCTTTGTACCACCTGTGTGGCAGCACCAGTGCTGCCCTCTTGGCCTTCTGGCCTCATCATTCTTTATCAATTAGTCTAATTTGACTAATGATGGAATAATCTTGGGATGGCAGTGCTACCCAATTTAGCAGTTGTAACTTCATGTGCTGGAACTTGCAACTGTTATTCAATCAAGTAGAAACAACTAAGACTAAACTATAGTATTTCAGACCTGATCCAGAAACCGCAAATGCAAAGTATATGTATATTTTTTACAAACCACGATATTTAATTTGTGGAGTCATGCAAATCATGAAACAACCTAAATAAAGCTGCTCATGACGTTTTATAAATTTCGCAAGTGGAGACTTATGGATCTTATAGTACAACATAATGTCTGAACTAAATGTTTGTCTTAATTCAGATCATTTTAATGTTCATTTTTAAGTAAATCTGCAAATTATCACCCAAAAGGGGTTGAATTGCTCTGAAAGATAATAGGAGACCATAATAAAGAACAGAAACTCTGGAAAACCTTATCGCTGAGACATTAATGATGTAGGCAAAATTCTGTATAATAGCTCCCCTGTAAACAAACTCTAGTCTTTCTTTTAATTTGACATAAAAGTAGAAATTTATGTACCATGTATTCAGTGCATCATTATTTATTTTACTAAAAAATCTTCAGACATGGTGTTATGGCATCAAACCAAGATGACCTTAAGGTCTTGCATATTTGGCAGAAAAATTTCTTCCCATCTCACGAAAGCATTCATCAGCTAGTGGCAGCTGTTACGAAAGAATATTTTAGCATCAGTTCCATTAAAGATGAATAACAAAAAGAAAGCAGATTTCATTTCAAGCTGTGGTAACTGCTAACAATTGTTAAATTTCTCTCCAGTCATCTTTAAAGCAGTGTAATTAATCAGGTGCTGGTTGTGTATTTCAAGTTTTTCCTTGGGGGAGCTGGGAGGTCATTATGAATATCCTATTGTATAGACTTTGAGAACTTGAGAGTAAGGTACAGGGCTCATTTTTGCAACCCCTCAGGTAACAGTCTGAAGAGAATTGCGTCAAAGAAATTCTTGAAAATGTCCAACTCTCGTATTTCTCTCCATTAAGGGCCTCTAATGAATAAGATCCCTGTTGTATTTAATAGCAAACATATTAATTTTTGTGTTAATCATTATTTAGATTTCTATTAATTAAATAGAACAAATGGTCCAGTAGCTGGAGCTCCTGCTTTTTGCTATACAAGGAGATTGTAATGCTTATAAACACTCCTATATAGGAGTTTCTCTTAAATATTCAGAATGGTATCAATAACATTTGCACTGTGCCTTTGTCTTTCAACTTTGAAATTTGCTTTGAATAGATTCAGTAATAGTGTGGGATTGTCTGTCTGTCCTTGTCCACTGTTCGGCATTTCTGTCAGGTCTCCTTAACCCTTTCACTGTCACTCGCTTAGAATCCCAGAGTAGCTACAATACAGGCTGTTGTGGTGAGTATTCCATGCAGATACGAACTTTGAAATGGAATACTTCCCCTTTGAAAGGGATGATGCCACATGGCAGACGTGTTTCTGAAGCCAGCTGAGCAGGCAGTCAAAGGGTTAAGTGTTTCCACTGTGCCTGTGATTTCAAAGTGATGATTTGATATTTATATGACTTCTTTCCTTCCAACTCTTGCCCTGACAGTTCTTGGGTACAGGGATAAACTATTCCAAAACTATAACCAAAAACCTGCCTCTAAGGGAAGAATCCAGACTCAAGGTACTGTTCTCCAGCACCTCATCCTCATTGTCACCACAATGTTAACCATCCTCACCACCGGGGTGTCAGCTAGAGTATATTCTTCCTGGCTCCATCCTTCCGGTTTTTGTCAGTTTAGGTTGTTAAGTGCTAACCAGAGGCATATGTTTATTTAAATTTTACTACCCAGCCTCGAAGTGTATATGATTTGGTTTCTGTGGCTTTGGTGCATTTCCAAGTCATCTTACTCAAATAAATAAGAATGTAGATGATGGACACTAGACCATCTTCTCATAATGTAAAGCAGATGGGTTTCATTTCCATTGAGGTTGTCAAGTCATGTTTTTTTAGCCAAGTGAAGTCCCTTCTGTGCAGATTGGGCAGTAAATATATGGGTAAACTATTCGGCCACATAGCGAATTAAATACAAACACAACAATCACAGGAATTCTTTAGGTCAGATGCTGCAACAGTGCAGCATAAAGCAGTTGGCATCTCTTAGTCACAGTTCTAGAAGTTAGAGTGCTGTTAAGTGTAGACTTACCAGCTGGTATCATGTTAACAATTGTTCTGTGTTTTAATACTTACAGTACGTTGCTGCAGCGAGGTTAGATTTCATGATTATAAAGTTAATGCAGACAAGAAGATGACTTCTGAAAAGGCTGGCATCTCAGTGATGTGATTATGGATATCATTAGTGACATTATCACATGTATTTTTCCCAAGAAGGCTTACATTTTACTTTTTTCTTGACATTTACTTTAGGAAAATTGACTTTTCAGTTATGGAAGCAGCACCTGCCTTACTTTTATTCACCTTATGTTGGCACCACAACTGGTGATGCTGTTGAACACAATCATATTTTTATATCTCAAATGAATGGTCTTAAATGCTCTGGTTGTTTAAGTGTTATTCCCTAGCTTGATTAAGATAGCCCAGTCTTACCCACATGTCCGTTTCTTTAAGTAGGCTAAATGTGACGTTCTTAAATGTGATCTGGTGTTTCGCTCTTCACTTTTGAATGCAGTTTTAAGTAGATGGGTTCTCAGAAAATTGATCGCATCATGGGCATCACAGGCAGCATGCTGGCTCAGTGGTCAGCATTGCTGCCCTGCAGTACTGGGGACCCGGGTTCAAATCCGTTCCCAGGGTGCTGTCTGCGTGAAGTTTGTATGTTCTCCCCATGTTATGTGGGTTTCCTCTGGGTGCTCCAGTTTCTTCCCACAGCCCAAAGACATGTGACTAGGTAAACTGGCTTCTGGGGAAATTGGGCCTGGTGTGCGTGCGTGTGCGTGTGTGTGTGTGTCTACCCCTGTGCCCATTGCTTGCTGGGATAGGCTCTGGCTCCCCTGCAGTCCTACAGTGGAAGAAGGGTTTAGAAAAGGGATGGATGGATCTCATCACTAGACAGCAAAAACACAGCAAAGGTAACTGGGCAGCAGAATGCATTCTCTCCTTCAAGCGACGGGGACAGAGCTAGACATGGCTGGTTCCGTAACGCAAAGCGGAAAATCGTCCGCGCGGCGCCGGGACTCAGCCCGCCGCCCGTCTCCTGCTCGTCCTCCAGGTGTCTGGGCCAGCCTGCGCTCCAGCAGTCGCTTCCATCACCCGCCCCCCACAGCCAGCGCCGGCGCCAGGCTGGCTGGCCGAGACCTGGCCCCCCCCGCCGGCAGCGAGAGCCTGCAGAACCAGCTCCTGAAACAGCAGGCCGCCCTCTACATCTTCGGAGAGAAGTCGCATCTGAGGGTAAGGGAGGGGGGGGGGTCTGCGTCGCCAGGCCAAGGTTACTGGGGGGAAAAGACAAGAGGGGGAGGGAAGGGAAATCCGAGACCATCTCGGATATTGACAAGGGGAGAGGCACAGCTCTTGTCCTTAAATAGGCGATGTCCTCAGCGTGGGCAGGCAGCCATGACGGTGGAGTGCAGCGCAGACACAACCACAGTTCATTTCAGTTTGATTTGGATCTCTCCAAGGAATTGACTCGAGAGTCTGTTCCTACTGACTGCTGACCCCGTAACTGGGTCAAAACCACCACAGAAGTTTCAGTTTAAATATCTAGCCATTTTCTTATTTACTGTGTTGTTGTTATTCATATTATCTCCTGACCTTAGAAATTATAAACAGTTCCCTGTTTTGTTTGTAATAATGCAGATTGTCAGTAGCTAACGAATCCACATGAGTAGTATTCAGGTTATGTGGCTCGATGTGAAATTGATATTATAAAAAGCCGAAGGTTTTATTGGTTTTTGGCAGGAATAAGTTTATAAACTTGTGAAAGTGCTGTGGTTGCTGGCTTTTGCTTGACATCTCTGCTGGCACGTGTTCAATGTGAAAGAAAAGATATGCTGTTGTGCTGGCATTTCAGGGCTGATTTGCCAAGAAGTCGTGATTCTTTCTTGTCTCTTTAAAAATTACCTTGATTTTTTTTTTTGGTAAAAGTAGGCAGACATCCTCTCCTAGAAAGTATCGGTGCCAGTTGTAATTGTCATAGTTAATGTTAAAGTCTGTCCAGTACTATAATTGTAATGGCACTTTAGAGCAAGGGGTTCCCAACATCAGTCCTCAGGGTCTGAAATTAAGCATGTTTTGGGTCTCCTCTGTAGTTATAAAAAGCTTTTCACTTGGGAGTGAATTCGATTAAGTTTAACTGGGCATAGAAAACCTGGGCTCTGGGCTCTGGAGAGCAGAACAAGTCCAGCTTTGAAACACTGAAAACATTGTTTCAATCTTATTCTAGATTTAAAAAAATGTCTAAGAATGAGTCTTGGGAGAGGAAAAAGTCTGTTCAACCTCAATATTTGTAGGTGTGTGTATGGTATATAAATGAAAATTACATTCATGGCCTTGCATTGGTTGTGTGTAGCAGGCATTTTCAAATTCATTCTTTTAAAATTGTGAAATCCTAGCATATTTGGAAAGGCAGATGGCTATGAGACTGTGCAGTAGCAGTTAGGCCACACAGCTCTTTTCAGAGCCAATTGTTTTGCTAATGCCCTCTCCATTCATGAGTTATCAGGGCTGATGAAGTCGAAGAATCTGCTTGGCAGGTCACAATGGCTCCGGCAGATGATGGTTCGAACATCAGGATGGCCCCTCCTGATTCAGTTCAAATATATACTGCAAAGCAGAAGCACATTTTGAAAGTCAGATGGAGCGAGGGTGTCTGGTCACAGTTTTCATGTTGAATCTGGTTTTCCTCTCCACAGGGGTTCAAGCTGGACTTGTCACTGAACTGCGAGCTGGTGCCCATGGAGTTTGCAGATACCAGGCAGGTGAAAGGAGCATTCAAGAAGCTTCTGCGGGCTTGCGTGCCCAGCTCTGCGCCCGCTGACAGCGAAGATACCTTTCTCAGGGCGCTCGAGGAGTCAGAATGGATGCTGCAGGTAAGATGAATGTGAAAGAGAAGGGGCTCCTGGGGTTTTTTTCGGTAAGGCAGGGTGATTTTTTTGGTTTTTGCTTTTATCTTGCCAAGGGGGGAGAAATTTTTTCTTTATTTTGAAAAAAAAAAGAGGCAGCTGTTTACAAAAGGTCACATAACTAGTTTAGTGGAGTATTTGTAATTTTTTCCACTCCATAATTTTAGTCATGTCAAACGGTCATGTACAAGAAACGTGTGCCAAGGCAATCAAGGGTCTGTGGTTAGCAATAGACTTGTTCAATCTGTAACAGCATACAAGGGCACAACAAAATAGCTTTTGAGGCCTGTTTTCAGGGGTTCCTTTTTGCTTTCAATGCTCTAGTCTCTTCTCCTCTCCTCAGCTTCACAAGATGCTGCAGCTCGCTGGGATCCTGGTGGAGTTACTGGACAGTGGTTCCTCTGTGATGCTCAGTGTGGAGGATGGCTGGGACATCACAACCCAGGTACCATACCAAAGACGTTCTGAACCCTGCACGCTACAGCCCGGGCAATGCCAGCATGCCAGCTCCACAAAACCAAGAGCTTCATCTTTCATCTTTCTTGAGTCAGAAACTTTTTGAGCTTTTTTTTTTTATTTCGCAAATGCTGCTTTGTCCTTTTGTTTTACTTGACATCTGCTCCCGTATTTCTGCACGTGTCTTTCTCATTAGATTGGATCAAATTTTCCATAAAAAGAGCTGTCAAAATTGGAAGGTGTCAATGGAAATAGAATCGCAACTGTGTGTCACTTTGCCATGTTTATTTGGCCTATGAAGCCTCCCTTTCGCTGTGTAAAACTAAAAATTATTCCCTCCTGCCAGAAAAGTAATTGTACTATATATACTTATGGTGGTGCACTGATTGACTGGGTAAACCTAATTTTGGCAACTTTAAGCAGCAGCACTTGCTTTCCAGTGCAATAAATACCTATTTCATGTGAGACACAAGTACGTGCAGAAGTCATCTTGAGTATTTTAGAAATCTGTCTTAGTAATAGTTTTTTTTCTGTACCCGGCGACGAAAAAGTAGGTCAAAACTATCTTGGTATTGATCTACAGATCAAGGGTCTCTAACTCCAGACCTCGGGGTCCAGACTCCAGCTGGTGTTCTGTGTCTTTTTAAGTTGTCAGTAGCTTAGAACTGAGGAAAATGGATTAATTGGTTTGATTGACCCTGTGGAATAGATTTGGAAACCCCTGATTTATATAGTACTCCTGTTGGAAATAAGTCTGTCTTTTCCATTATGGCTCCAGGCTTGAACCAACCTAAGCTGTCTTTCAGGATGCTAAGTCAGGGACAAATGGATAATTGATATCGTTGCCTCATTGCAAAACGCTTAGGATAACAACAATTATGAACAAAACAGAAATTGCAAATAAATTAACAAGAGGTTTAATTATATGTTTTAATACTTTGTTGAAAGATCCCAGGGAAGCAAAGTGCTAGGTAGCTTGTCCCTGAATCCACATCCCTGTATTTAAGGAAGGGGCTTCGGTTTTCCGTCCCAAATACTTTGGCAGAAACATGGAAGAAAAACATCAGCTCATTACAGTATGTTGTTAAAACACTGTGTCCATCTCCAGCTGGCACCAGGATGAAAACAGCATGTACAATTCCAACAGGGGGAACGTCTGTGAAATAAATAGGGATCAAGCAATGGATGTGGTCAACACAACAGACACAAACTTGTTTTTTCACTCAAATCACAAAAGGTCCGAGTAATGGTAGCGGTCGGATACTTTTAATTTGTTAAACTCATTTTGCAGACAAGCGTCAGGTTTTCAGGCTTCTTGTAGTGTGCAGGACACTTTAAAATCGTATACGTGTAACATTTGGAAGCTGTCTCTGGCCCCAGTAAGAGTTGGTGTTAATCCACTGAAAAGAGAGGAAAATTACAAAAGAACAATGTTATTTTCTCGCACTTGTGCCATCTTCTGTTTAAAATATAAGAAGCACAACTTAATTATGAGGCTCATTTGTTCCATATGTGCCCAAGCCGTTAATTTATTCTGAAGTTTGTTTTATAACAGAATGGAAAGACATGGACTAGATGCAAGGTACCAATAGTTACTTAACTGCTGTTTTTACAGCAAGATATATATTGCTTCAAAACCTGGCAGGAATAGTTCGTTATTAACAATAACGTCTTTTTATTTGTTAACCAGGTTGTTTCTCTAGTTCAGCTGCTCAGTGACCCCTTCTACAGAACCCTGGAAGGTTTCCAGGTCCTGATCGAGAAGGAATGGCTGTCCTTTGGCCACAAGTTCAGCCAACGCAGTAACCTGACTCCTAACAGCCAGGGCAGTGGCTTCACCCCGATCTTTCTCCAGTTCCTGGACTGTGTGCATCAGGCAAGCGTGACAGAGCCTCCCATCTTCAGTTCACACATTGCACATCGACACACTGTGCTTCTAGAAATGAAGTCATTGCATATTTGCAGCGTTATGGATTTTCTGGGGGGGGTGGGGGTGGGGATTGGAGCAGGGCAAGGAACACTTAGCAAACAACACGATTTTGGAAGTACTCGCAGAATGATCAAATCCATTCGTGAGTCATAGCCATCACATCCATACAGTTTAGTTGGTCCTAATGTAAGAATCAATATCGTGCACAACCAGGGGGAATTCCCAAGCGGATTGAATATGAAGTAACAGTTTGTGTGTAGACTCTGTTGACTTGTGCTGAATTTAGGGCCTTCCCCTTTTCAACATTTAAGATTTAGAAGTACAGTACACATACAGAAACCTTCCTTACATAAGACTTCCCTTTTAAAGTTAAAAATTTGGAGTTCAGGTCTGACACCTGTTCGTTGTGTTACAGTTTTGGTCCTAGCCAGTAGGATGGAAGCTTATCTAGGTATGAAATGTCAGCTGTGACAAGTTTCAGTTCTAAAACACATTGCATGACTGGAAAAGGGAAATGAGTAATAAATCCTAAGCCATCCCTTTCTGATTTGGTATGCATCAGAGCTCAAAAATGCCAGATAATCTGAAGGGTTTAAATAAATATTATATGTGAAACACTTTGAATTATTCATTTCAATGAATGTGACCGTGAAAGTAAAAAAGGGCCAAATTTAAATACATTTTGTTTGTAGTTTTCCTGTATGAAATTTGAGAGTATTTTACCGATGTACTGTAGGAGGACTACTTACCTGATATGTCAAGACTTTACTAAAATTACACATTTAAACGACTCATTAAATTCTTACCACATTAACACAAGAGTACGTCAGATGATAAATTGCCTTTTGGGGAATTAAATGCTTTTTCTTGTTACCAAAGACATGGAATAAGAAAAGCACAGGAATCTTGTTCGCTGTCAAATGCTAATTTTGAACTGCTGTGGGTTAGCTTTGTCTCCCGAGTCTTTTAACACAGATTCAGTACACTTACATCAACACTTGCTTTCCACATTTGTGTATTTGAGGTTGATTTTATGGTTGCCAAGATGATCCAACACTGTTAAAGCCCTTTAGTGTGATAAACAAAACAAACAAAATGTGAAATTCCTTAAATAGCACATCTCATCTCACAAATAGTTGTTGTTTTTGCCAATATACACAGGTGGCTCTTATAAAAAAGTCCTCTGTACAGTCCCAGCAACTGGAAGATATTTGTGCATTTTGCTCTTTATCACTTTGTGGTGGGGATGATGATGTCACAGAGCACTGCAGTTTTTGTTCAGTAACTTTTCGTATTGAAATGTGTGCTGTGAAGGTTACACAATGTATTATGCAGAGTAGTTCCAAATATATCTATTTAAAATAATTTAATTCATGTATATTTGGATTTCTCCTCATCTCCATTGAGAATCTAATCTGTATTTACAATTTATATTACCAGTTGTTTTCATTTTTCATTTTTTAATTCCCAATTTGGAATCGCCAGCTGTTTCTCTTACATCTCAGCTCATAGCAGTAACTCCCATGCTAAACATACTTAAGCCATGGCAGAAGTGTGGATCAGTGGCCAGGGTTATGAACTCATAACTGGAAGGTTGTGGGGTCAAATCCCAGGTGAGGCACTGATTTTGTACCCTAGAACAGGGTGCTTCATCTGCTTTGCTCGTGTAAGATTCTCAGCTGTACAAATGGGAGCAAACGTAAGTTGCTTTGGATAAAAGGGTCAGCCTCTTAAAAAGAAGACAGCCAAAGGTCTCTCCAAACTGCTCACCCATTGAACTATTCATCTTTTCATCTTTTGGAATGCTGAAAGCTCCGCAGTGTCTTGCTAGGTGGATAGTACCAGCTGGAGGAGTGGTGCATCCCAGACCAATGTCACTCATGCCTGCAGCGGCCCAGAAATTCAGCTAAAAAAACGAAGGAAACCAGGCCAGCTTATCGTTTTGGCAATTGTACAGTACCGTTCTCCTGCTGGTTAGGGAATCTCAGTCACAGTCTCGCATTACTGACATCCTCAAACATTAGTGACAAGACCCAAACCTGCAACATCTGGGACCCAGGGGGCACGTCTTAAACTGGTTGGCCACTCAGGAGCCTGCCTGTCTATACAATTGTAAAGTGGAAGATGTTACTTGATTTGGAAGAAAAAGAGCTCAATATGATTGCCAAACTGAGTGTTTTTTTAATTAATTATTAATATGTATTTGGGGAAAAAACCTTTCTGTCTGGGAATGTCTACCATGCTGAGGGGAAAATAATAACACCTACCATTGGACTTTGTTTTTTCTAGATACACAACCAGTATCCCATGGACTTTGAATTCAACCAGCACTACCTGAAGTTCCTGGCTTATCACTACGTCTCAAATCGCTTTAAAAACTTCCTTTTGGATTCAGATTATGAACGTCTAGAACATGGTCAGTTTTCACATCTTCTAATTGAATAGATCGTTGTTGAGGATAAGTGATCTTGGCCCATTGCTCCTCCTAAAATTAATCTTAGTCCTTTTTCTCAATCTTCTACCTGGTTCAGAAATTCAGCAGCATTGCACAAAGCCAGCAGGAAGATATTGTGGGCTTATGTGATCACTTTTTTCTGTTTTATATTTGTAAAATATAACATAATCAATTGTGGAAAAAGTAATCTTCGTTGTCTTTGGTCATGTAAGTTTCACACTTTCCTGCACTCGCAGGTTTGAGTTTCTCTCATTTTACTGCCGGGAATTCTAGTTATGTGTCAGTGTTGGTAGCTAGAATGTGACCTACTGCCTGTGCTTTTGAACCCTATTCCTACACCCTACTTGGATTGTGTTTCTCTGCTCTTTGCCAATTTGTTATTAATTTCTTTAATGAGTGCCTTAAATCTGGGCTTGTACCTTTAGTCTTAAAGTCTGCTGCTATCAGGTCTGTGTTAAAAGAATCCTGGCCTGTATAGCCAGGTTAATAACCACCCTCTTACTTTCTAATCACACCTTCTTACCTTAGGTTATGGAGTGGGGGGTTGCAACTGAATTGCAGAACTAAACCAGTTCTTGTTAATGATGGCTCTGTTAGGTGTATTATGCATGTGTGTAGCATTTTGTGTTTTTTTAGATATGCTTCTAAATGTAATACATTCTCATCTGCATTATGACAAGGTTCTATAATAACTCTTACTATTTATTAAACCAAAATGACTGCAAGACTACTTTACAGCAAAAGGCCTGGTATTGAAAAAAGATGACCTGTGTTCTGGCTCAAAATTGATCTTTAAAAATCTAATTTCTTCTTGATCCTTTTTGGCATCTTGTTTTCTTATACAGCAGCATTTTCTTTGTTTTTTTTTCTCATCAAAGGGACATTGTTTGAGGATAAGGGAGACAAGCAGGCCAAGAAAGGAATATGCATCTGGGAGTTCATTAACAGAATGCACAAGAGGAGCCCTGTGTTCTTTAACTACCTTTATGGACAGTCAGAAGTAGAGGTATGAAATCTGGGAGTCTTCTTTGGCAGTCCTCACTGACAAATCAGTAGCATCTTTCATATGCTCTGACCTGATCATGCAGTCTAGTGAAGGTCTGCAATGGTTTCAAAGCAATATTCATAATGTCCTGGCAAAAAATACCATCATAAGGTATTTCAAGATGATTGAATGCTAGCTTCTTTCTTATCAGAAGACGCATTCAAATAATAAATAAGAGTTTAATAATAACAGAGGAGCAAGGAACTGCAGCTTCAGATACTGGGGTCTAAGTAGGCTTCTCCTAGTATTGTGAGAGCCACGTGGGTCCCTGCTTCATATCTCCTGCGAGCTCAACTAGACTTTCAGCATACTTAACCTTTATCTTTTTTTAAAAAATTCCTCGCTTGTTGTTTTTTAAAACTTGAGTTACTGGCTGCTGCCGTGTGAAACTGGGGTTTACCTCTGTCAGTGTGTTCCGAATGCAAACTTCAAAACAAAAGAGTAAAAAAAAAACAGCAGGGCATGTCAAGATCCTCGTGAGGGTAGTGTCCAATTGAACTGTGATTCATCTCGGAGCTAGCTCTTGGAACCTCTAATAGCCTTTCTCCCAAACTCACAGAGTTATAAATCAGCCGCGAAAACTGGACAAATATGAAACTTTTTTTTTTCTTAGCTCCGGTTGTGGATTATGTGCCATTTCTGAGAAGAGCAGTAAGTTCATCAGGCTCAAGACACTGGATTCCTTTCAGATTTCCTCAGTGATGCCCAGCACATATTGTTAGTGTTAAGTGGAGGGATTTGGAATACCTCTGGGAATTCCTATAGCAGTGGGAAAAAATGTGGTCTAGACAAAGCCCCGGTATTTCGTAAACTTTAATCAAAAGTAAACAAGGTATTGCCTGGCAATGTGACCCGTCTCACAGTGCTGTTCGGAGAATGTGTGGTACGTTCAGGGTGGGGAACTGTGGCCTGTTCTTGCTAATGAGCTCATTTCTGTTTTTGTATTCAGCAAGTCCTAAAGCCCTGTATCAACATCTCGAACCTGACTAAGTGGGATTACTACACTGCGGAGACCCTGTCCACTGGCCCTTGCTACGACTGGAAGATGGTGGTGAGCAGCGCGGCGCCCAGCGAGGAGCTTGACGCCTCCCTCTCTGGCAGCAGGAGGAAGATCGTGTGGCCCTGCTACAGCAGTGTCCACAGGGCACAGCCTGACGCCATGACAAAGCTGCTGGCAGTAAGTGAACATCCGTGCTAAGCCTTCCAGTAAGCCCCAAGCTTTAGGGTAGGTTCTCCACAATGGAGAGCTGGCAGAGGGCACAGTCCCCATGTTACCAGCCATATACACCCTGTTCCCCATCCTGTTGTGCTGCATCTTTAAGGTTCACGTTGTGTTCTGTACTATGTTGGTACTTAAAGAGGGAGAAATTCAAACAACTGTTCTTTTCTCTGCCTGAATTCATTTTTGTTTTTTTCTGAAAATGGTGCAGGATAGCTGTTCAGATTACATGTGGGTTCAGAGTCAGAATGGGGTGTCATGGTAATCACTTCAAGAGTGACTGACCTTCGTAACAAAATTTGACCTTCGTTTTCAGTTAATCTACGTGAATCAATACCTTACTGACGCTTTTGGTTGCAAATTTATTATTTTTTCACGTCATTTTATACTTTACCCTGCACCCTTCAGCAGGCTTAGTATCAAGCAGTATAAAGCCTTCTGTATTTGGAAAAACAACCTTGACTGTTCGTGAATCATTCACAACAAAAAAGGAGTTCTGCTGAGTCATCTTCTGGAGTTGTGTTTTTTTATTTTTGCAAGGAAAGTGATTCAGATGTGCTTTTGCCTTTTGTCTTGCAGGATATTGAAAGGTTAGAGAATGAATTGAATCAGACCCCAGAGAGATGGCAGCTGACTTTGGATAAAGTCAAAGTCAGCATCAAAGAGGATTTAAAACTGGAGAGCAGTGTAAGTGCAAGACTACAGAAAAACATTTTGTATTTCACCCCAGTGTGCAATTGTTATACCCTGTGATTAATTATTGTGCACAGATTGAGGAGCATCTTTGTACTGTAGCTTCAAGCAAGCTGCTTTGTGGCTGAATTATATTGCTGTCCAAAAAAATGAAGCCTCTATTCTTTCCTTCAATGTTTAAGATTTTGTCATTTGAGCAAAATAATTTGCACAAAACATCTTGGTCTTCAAAGAATTTGAAGACATTGTTATTTATGTATGTGAATTATCAAATTCTGAGATTGATGGTAATATATGTAATACAGTATATGCTTGTGCCTAACATCTGTTATCGTGTGAAAGATTTAAAAAAGCAAAGGTGAAATCCCCAACAGACTCTGTGTGTTTCAGAGACTGTAGTTTCAGTATAATATCCTGCACTGTGCCCGGCACCTTTACCCCATTCCGTATGGACAGAGCTGTGTGTGTGTGTTTTCCAGCTCCACAAACAGTCGGCCGCAGTCTCAGGCCTGATTCCCAGCAACCTGCAGCCCTTCCAGAGGAGGTCCATGCTGCACCTGCCCGACAGCGGCCTGGGTGACGACAGCAGCCCCACGGCCTCCAATGGGGTCAACAGGAGAGCCGCCACCCTCTACAACCAGTTCACGCCCAAGAACGATGAAAACAGGTGAGGACGTGCGCGGCAGGCGCCCGGGTCTCCCCTCTGTGGCTCCTGCTGCTAGGTTTCGCGCCGGACTGCAAGGAGAGCACAGAGGCCTCGCAAAGTGGAAGAGGATGCATGTCGTCTCGGGGGTTACATTTCTGTTTTGGTTTCCTTTGCAGGTCGTTTGAAGGAATCCTGTTCAAAAGAGGTGCTTTGCTCAAAGCCTGGAAACCTAGGTGGTTCGTTCTGGATACTACGAAACACCAAGTACGTACACTTGTCAGGAATCCTTTTTTTTTTCTGTTAGTTCATTAAATTTTTTTAATACACAAGGAAAGGCATTCTGTCTTACAAGTGGTGTATCAGCCTTAGAAAACAGCCGTGTGTAGACTTTTACCTAGTACTGTATATGATGTGATCGGATAAGCTAGGTGAAATCTTTTGAGAAACTAGTAGAAATTGGCTAGTTTGCTTTGTTCATTTACGCTTTGCTCTTGGTCACATTGCCATGATCGGGAATGAAACCTGCAAGATGTGCAACAAAGGCTGACCTTATCTTCACCTCAGATATAAGCAGCTCCAGCCAGTTAGGCGCTGGCAGCTCTCCATAGGCCTGTTATAGATTGGAAGGCGTTCAAAGTTGATGTGTGCGTTCCCAATTACTGTTTCATTCTTCTACCAAAGGACAAAAGTGTTCTTTGTTTTTTCAGTTGAGGTATTACGACACAGGAGAGGACACAAACTGTAGGGGACACATTGACCTGGCAGAGGTGGAATCTGTTGTTCTCGCAGCCCCTACAATCGGCGCACCAAAGCACATTAGTGAGAAAGCCTTTTTTGATGTAAGTAGATCACGCTGCCTTTTTCCACCATGTAGGTGTGACTGCAGCACTGGCTTCGATGGAAGCCTTGTTGTCCGGTCCTCCGTTTTTGAAAAAGTTGACTGGGTTTTAATATAGGCTTTTTCTCTGTACCGGGCTGTCTGCTTCCAGTCTTAAACTGCATGTCCAACGATTAAGACCCAGTATTTTCAAAATATGAACTGCCTTCACTTGTTCAGAGGAAAAAACAATTTCTTAGGTGCTCTGGTGCCCAACTCCAGCTGAAACCAATTAAAAAGAATAAGGAGCTAAAAAAACAGAACAAACAAATTAAACGTAAATAAAAAGCTAGATGAAGTTAAAATGTTAGTTACCTCTTAAATGTGCCATTTTAAGAGAGTACTTAGAATCTGAAAGCCTTTACAACTAATTTCAAGTCTGCTGAAAGGCCTTTCAAAGTTAGTGCTGGAGACATAGTTCACAAATAGCAGATGACTTTCTAGATTTGTTGAGTTTAAAACTATTTTTTTTTCATTTTCTCTTTACAAAGTGTTTTTTTTAGCAAGTCCATTTTCATTTATTAGGTATTTAAGAGTAATGGTTGTGCAGGACAAGAAAGGATCCTGTGTTTTGTTTTGATTGTTTCTGATTGATTGTCACTAATGTCATTTCAGCTGAAAACGACAAGGCGTATGTACAATTTCTGTGCACAAGACGCACAAAGTGCACAGCAGTGGATGGACAAAATCCAGAACTGCATTTCAGACGCATAACCTTGCTCATCAGTGTGATCTCAGGCAATAATATCTTCAGGAAAAGGAGAACGGGGCTTACAAGGAGAGTTTGAAATCTCTTCCCAAACTCTTCAGGCATTTCCAGGAATTAGGATCCAGTACCAGAGATTAAAGAATTAAGAGATTAAAGAGGACTAAATTATAAATGGATTGCACTGTGTACAAAAATAGTGTATTGACTTGTTTTAAATGGAGAAAGTGGGATTGCACTGGCCATCAAAAATGCTAAATACAATGTAGCAAGTGAAAAAAAATAATTAGACTGTGTTTAGATGATTCAAGTTCAATACTGTAGAAAAAGAAAAAACAATTGCTGCTTCCAGAGCCTTAAAAAAGACCATCTAAAAGAGCAAATGACAGCAGACATGCACTAAACAAGGTAATTGATTGCACTTAAGCCTGTACTATGCATTCCATAGTACTTTACAGATTTAATAACATAAAACACCAGCAATTCAATGGCATTACATTATAAATATGTACATATTTGACATCCTTCTGTAGCATTTTTTTAATTTAAATAATTAATGAAAAACCTTTGCACACTAAGGAAAAGAATGTTTTCAACAATTTTGTTTTATAGTCGTAACTAGCGTTACAAAAAGGCAGATGTTTTTGTGAATGTTGTCAAGGTTAACTTTTTTAAAAATGTCCCTTGTGATGTAAATTAAAAATTGATGTTATATATGTAGCTTGTCTTGTATGCATCTTAAGCATGGTCAAAATCCTAATTATAGCCTCACATATGTAAATATGTCTTTTGGTAGCATTTTATACATTTGACTTTTTTATACATTTGAACAGGTCATTTTTATCTAACCATAACCAAAATGAATCTGATTCACACTTCAGCTATGTTTTATCTTTTTTATGTCCTTGACATTTTAAATAGCCACTATGCCGTTTCAAGTCTGGAGTCGTCAAGCCTAGTATGAAGGGGGAAAGACTTCAGATTTCCCAAATGATTCATTAAAACTCGTTTTTTTATTCTTTTTCTAAATAGCTCATTTAATCCAAACATAATGTCATTTTTTCTGTATGTAACATCTTATTGTTTGGGGGAAAAAAGGGAAAGACAGCTGGCACCTGGAATCTGTAACAGAGAAGGTAAATGTTATTGTTTTCCTGTACTTGTTTTTCTTGTGACAACACTAACTTTTTGGAAATAAATAGATAATACTTGAACACGCTCGCACAACCTATATGGTCACTTTTTCTGATGCTTGGGAAGAACACAGTTAAAAGCTGCACAATAATCTGTCACTATCTGTCAGTCACTTTTTTTATTTTGTTTTTGTTTGTTGTGGATGTAAATTAATTTGAAATCAGCATTTTTGTGTATGCGCAATTGGTCTGTCTTGTTTTCACTCTTTTATCCATAGTTTAAGTCTCTGGGAAACAAACCTCAGTATTGCACCTTTCCTGGGTCTTTGCTTTTCCATGCCTGTGATATTTCCCCACAATAGCGTCACAGAAGTATTTCTGAAACGTCACAAACTTGAGAGATTTGAAGTCCCACAGAGTTAAATAGCTGCTGCAGCTACCTTGATTAAGGAATTCCAAAATTACAATTACAAAAATTGCAAAAGCACTTTTTTCTTTTTATTTGTTTTTTCTTTGTTTTGTTTTTTTTTTGCAAAAGATTGTTTTGCAAATCTCCTTTTGCATGGATCCCTACCTGAAAGGTGATCTTTTTGGAATCTTTGCATCTCTCTTCCTGTTTACAGCTGATGATCCTTCACGGTGCATGTCACTGCAATTTTCTTTCCTGAAACTAACTCAGAGCGCTCCTGGAACATTACTGAATCCAGAAATGTAAACTAATAATAATGAGAATTAATTACATTTTTCCATCCCAAAGGATTCCAAAAGGTTTCATATTTAGGACGTCACCACTGACGTGTAGCCCTTATCTCAGTAGAAGCCATTCTCAACCACTACAGTCCCACTCCACAACACATCTGGGGAGGAGTAAGAAAGAGTGCGCTACTACTAAGATTAAGGATGAATTTTCTAGACGGCCAGACTGTATAAGCCTGAAGCAGGTTTATATGTGTGGAAATTGGCCAGCTCGTTGGAATTAATGCCCTTGCTCTAAAGGTATCTTTTCATAAACAAGCACTCAGGATCTTGGTTATCATCTCATCTGGTGTTGAACACCTACACCCTACTCCTGTTACCATACAGGAGCCACATACTGCTTGGATACTGACCAGGGCCTGCTTTGCTTAGCTTTGGACATGTAAGAGAACTATTTTATTCCCCATAGTTTTCTTAATTAAGTCAAGTGAACCTTTAATTTCACTGCAATGGAACAAGTAATAGGTTTATTCCATGCTGAAAAAAAAGAAGAAAGAGAACACAACGTTTCGGCCGTGGAGCCTTCTTCAGGTCTCACTGTTTTTTAATTTCACTGTTTAGAAAGGGTCATGAAATCCAGTGCCACATGCTGAATTTAGAACTTTGCCTCTTTTTTTAAATGATTGACGGAGTTTCATTTAACCAATGAGTCTGAGTCCATTGACACATTGTGTTGACAACAGAAGGAGCCCACTTCCTTTGTTGCTAAAGGATGGACAGTCTGACCACGGCAAATCAGGCGAAGAGGTGAGAAATGTTATGCTTCTATATATCATAAATTGACAATTAAAAGTAGTTGCTTTGAAAGCGGTAGAAAAGGAATAATTCTAACCATTTGCTGGCTAAATATTTGTTTTGTACGAAAAAGATATGTTAGTATGTTTTAAGAATGCTTCCTTTGATAAATAAATAATTCACATAATTTTTCATTATTGTATCATAATATTTCAAGGCAGTGGGACCTAGAAGTTCCAACATGTCTTTTTGAACTATGTTGAATATTGTGATGTTATAAGGTGGTCAAATGATGGTGTGTTTATATTATGACACCACAAAATCAGTTTTACACATTTCTATTGGATATTTTAATGGTCCAGTAATTTAAAAAATATTTAAAACTAATATGTTTTAAAACTTATTAAAAACTCAGTTGGAACAAAAACCAGAAGACGGAGAGATACTCTGAGACCAGGGTCTGGGAACACTTATTAAGAACATGGACTCTGGACCTGAATTGATACAATTCAAATATTTTCGCACAACCACCACTGTGATATCTTCACGGTAAAAGTACCGTCAAAACCCAAATCCATGCGTCAATGTGGAGCCACATTCTGGTATGGAAGACAGCAGCAAACTGAAGTTCCACCTGTCTTAAAGAATAAGGAAAAGCTTTAGATGAAATTCCGGTGTCAGAAACATGTGGTTTTCCTCATGTTCAGCTTGCTGGTATAGGGAGCAGGTGCAATGCTATACTGACATCTGGAAAGTTTGTGGCTAGCAGTCATTTCCAAATTTAGCTGGCTTTCCAAGCTGTGGATTAGCACCCACCCCCAGGAGGGAAGGTGCAGAGGAAGTGGGATTCCTGATGGATTTACTGGGGTTGCACTGGAAGGCACGCCACCAGCCGTGTGTGGAGTTCTCCTGAGGAGAACTGGAGCTTTCAGCCTGCAACAAAAATGAGGAAAACAAAAAGCCCTAGTACTGACACAAAGCAACTACATGCAAAACCTACAACAGCTGTAAATGCATGGAATAAAAGTTAGAGTTGATGTTTAAAGCACTGCTCTTCACCAGTCCTTTCGGAAGACCTCTTGAGAGATAAAGTGTCTGTCTGTCCCTACAGAAACTCCGACTGTTCCAGCACCTTGAAGACTTTATTAATTATCTAAAACAAGAAACTTCTTAGCATTGCTGCCTAGCAGTGCTGGAGCCCTGCGTTCAGTTCCAGACCTGAAGAGGATGCTGTCTGCGTGGAGTTTGTATATTCTCCCCATGTTTGCATAGGTTTTCTCCAGGTGCTCCGGTTTCCTTCCACAGTCCAAAGACATACTGGTGGGTTAATTGGCTTCTGGGAAAATTGACCCTGGTGTGTCCGTGTCCGTGTCCGTGTCCCGGCAGTGGATTGGCCTCTCATCCAGGGAGTATCATGCCTTGTGCCCGTTGCTTGCTGGGATAGGCTCCAGCTCCCCCCGTGACCCTGTATTGGATAAAGCAGTAAAAAATGGATGAAGAGAAGTCTTTTGCTTTCCACCTTTGCTTATCCCATGGCTCTTTGCACTAAATAGTTGTCAGTTTTATTAATCAAGATCCTAGAAAACTGGCTGCATGGTGAACACTGGATGTGCACTACTGAACCAGGGCAATTCTGCGTAAAAACAGTATTACTTGATCAGCTCATTGTGGTTCATTTGATTTCACAATATTAGATCTCTCATCTATTTTTAATTTATATTTCCTGGAAATCTAGAATCTAGAGAACCTTAGGGAATAGCACATCATGATATGTTTGCTTTTGTTAGTTCACTGGAACATCTGTGATGATCAGTTTATTGTTAATACTGGACAATTCAAGCACTCTGTTCCAAATTGCACTCATTCTAAACAGGAGATTCTTTAACCATGATCTAAAAATATTCTTTAAGGTCCCTCTGGTAGATTTGTTTTGACTTGTTTGTACCTTGTTTTATCTCTGGAGAAAATCAGCCTTTTCTCTGAATGTGTTCCTTCTTTTGTCCATCCCACTAAAAATGCTTTCCCACTGACTGCGTCCACTGATACAGCCCAGAAACAATCCAGGCAATGTCCCCCATGATACTCTGATTCGCATTTCAGCTAGCATCTGTGAGCCTGTTTGTGCCCTCAAAAAAGCCACCTCTTACAGCAGAGATGAGTGTAGTTCCTATGTTTTCAATACTCACAACTGGCAAACTGCAGTCTATTTCAGTTTCAGTGAATGAAATGCCTTTTAAACAAAACACTTCACTGTAGTCCACGATTTTACAGTTTCCTAAAGTAAAATCACATAAAAGAAGATAGTCTTCTCTTTTCTGCTTTTCAAATCTTTCAATTCAATCACTCAATTCATATTTTTCCCCAGAATTAATGTTACTGACATGTTGTGACAGAGAGCTTTAGAAAAATCATAGCATTCATTTTTGTCTTTACTCACTCATTTAATAAATATGGCTCCATAAAGCGAAAATACTCCTTGCAGCAATATATTTGACAGGATCAAGAACCAGAACTTTACAAATGAGAATGTCAGGAATTCCAATCAGAAATTGGAAGGACATCATATTATTGGCCGTTATTATTGCATCATGTCTAGAAGAAATAAAAAAAGCTGTCACTATTCTGAATCATATAGGATGGGTGACTTCAGAGTTAACCACATGCACCAATCTGAATGTCCTCCACAGGACTGCCTTAGAAGGACTACATCAGCCAGGAAGATTTCAATATATATAACATATTAATAGCCATTTTTAACATCGTGCCACTCTAGATACTAAACGAAGTTATTTTGCGAGATGCTGTTTCCAAGGTAACAGTAAACAAAACAAAAGTTGCTTGCTATACTGTGCTGTACAGACCAAAAGAAGTGGTTCCCATAGTTACTTGTGTCATATTTGATGTAATTCATACCAGGCTATTCTGCACTTGTCATCACGCAAGTATAGTCTGCCACCTTTACCACAGGATTTTAATCGGGAGTGCTATAGACAATGCTATGAAGTCACCTCGGGAAGATATTTTGGCCAGAAACATGGCCAACTAAAACCACAGCTGTGAGAGATTTATTCATTATCAGACAGTCAGAAAGAATGTTCCCGATCCAAATCTGTTTAAATGAAAATCTCCTGGAGAAGATTCAAATAAACTGGTCACGGACATTAAGAAGCCTAGACCACATGTGGCCACAGGCAGAGGAGAAGGTATTTTTGCCTTATTATGGAATGTTAGAGTTTGTGCAATTAATTCCTGGAGACGTGACCTTGATACATTAACGATTAGGACTCAGAAGAGTTTAAATCAAACTTTGCGAAAATGCGTTTGAGATATTAATGCCTCCTTTGAGGGGCAGGCGGATGAGCTTACGTTCAAATCTTCTGCTTCTTTGCCGTGGAATTCTTTGCAGGAGGGAACCTGTGTCCATTAGGACCAATAAGGGGACTGATCCTTACAGACAGAAATTGAGATTTGATTTTAAATATTGAGTTTAGCTGGTGAAAGTATATTTTTAAAAGTGTTATTTTGAAAGAAATGGTATTTGTGACTTAACACAATCTCATATGAAAATATATGAAAATGTAGTGAGGAGTAGAC